GCGCCTGCAAACCCTGCAGGCTGCTGATACGACTGGCAGTGAAGGAGGGGTTTCACATGCACACCGTTGCGCACGGTGTCATGCCGCTCAACTCGGCAGCAGTGGACTTTGCCAGCCGCCGCTTCAAGCCGAGTGGCGTGGCTGTTGACCTGGAGACGCCGGACGGCAAGCGCGTGGGCGTGCTTGGTGTGGAGCTCCAGATGCTTACTAGCAACCGGACACGGTCCATTGTGGCTGATGCCGTGCGTCGCATGCGGCTGATGGCCGCCATTAGCAGCAATCAACGCGCGCTTTCACGCGCCGCCAGTGCGAGCGCCATGCAGCCCAAGACCATAGCCAAGTCAGGCGAAGCGGCCTCTCGCAGTGCCTCCCATACGTGACGCGTTTACGCGCGACACTGAATTGAACCCCTCCTGTAGGGTTCATTTCAATGTATGCGTGGTTCCGCAGGCACTGCACAATGTGCTTCTGTTCAGCTGTGCAATTGATTTTTGCAAGCATCAGGCTCTGCATTTGAAACAGCTGGTGGCCATGCTGTGTCCGTTTATTGGCGTCTGTCGACACCACTGACTGGGTCCGCGGAATTTGCATAGATATCGTTGCGGGTGCTGGCGTTTCGAGCAAGGTACTCACTGCCGCACCAGCAGGTGACAACAGCAATAGCCACTGTGCAATGGCAAACAGTTTGGAGTGGTCGCCGTCAGTACAAAGCTGTAATGTTTCATCATCATGAGGTTTTCACACCAGAGACATTTGACAATCAGGTGTCCAGCCCTGGATGTGGGAGTGTTCTGAGTGATTTTTCTGGCGTTCTAGGTAATGAAGGGGGTCCAGGGACATGCTGTTGGGCTTGGTAGTGGACGCTGATTCTGGCAACGGAGTCTGCCACCCATTGTAATGCTGGTTGTTGAGGTTGTCTGAGCTGGGCTGGCAGGGGTGAGAAGCTACTTGCACGATAACATGCGTGGCGCGAAACATCGTCAAGGACAAAGCTTGCATGTGGCAACAGCAAACTATTTGCTGTGTCCCAGGTCTTGTAGCAACCCTGCAGCAGCTGGTCGCTCAAATCCAGCACCTTGTTCCTGATGTCCAACTGTTGCTAAATGTGAGGGTGCTTCCTGGCTGATGTCGAGAAGGTGTGCAGCACCCGCGCCTGGCCCCTCGTTGCCTGCCCAAAAAGTGAACTAGAACCAAGGTGCTATTTATGGCAGCCATCTCACCGAGCTCCCAAGAAGCAGACCTTGTCAAGACAATTCACGAAGACTCCCACCAAGAGGAACTCTTCGTGGCCGGGATCAGGAATGCACATCAGGGCCCTTGCTATGTGTCCGTTGCTGCACCCAGGCATTTGATTAGCTGCCTGTGATTCCCTTGAGCAGCCGAAGAGGCTGTCAGTTGCATGCGTCAATGCAACGCTCATAATGACCCTGCAACTTGCAATCTATGACTACCTAGTCTAGTCGTAATATCCATGCAAGGTGGAAACAGGGGAAGACATGGATGACAGTTGGTGACAAGAAGTCAAGTGCGGTTGTGAACGCAGGGGACTAAGCACCGGTGCTCGTTTTTTGGCCCGTGGCTGGTGCCGGCCGCAGCTGCGTGTACCAGGGCGCTAGGCCCAGGTTGTCCTGGAGCCAGTGCAGCTGGCTCCATTGCAGCGTAACACCATCCACACCCATTAGGCCACTGGACGCACCGTCGCCAACATACGACCACCTGGCAGAGAAGGGACAAAGAGTGCGCCAGGAAAGCGGGCATGTGGCTTGACGTGTGGTCAACGGCGACATGTGCACTGCTGCTGCGCAGCTACAGCGCAGTACGGCCTCACAAACAGCCCGCCGGTGGGCAAGCACTGGATAGCAGTGTAGGGTTCAGGGTTCAATTCTGCAGGCAGAGCTTTGAACTCACCAGAACCACCCGCTAGCTGGTTCAGATGCCCATTCCTTGGCTGGATCTCTGGCTGTGATGAATCGCGCCGCATCACTCAGGTAAGCCGCTTGCTGGGAGTCGTCCAGGCGGCCTCCAACATCGCCCACCACTGCAGGAAACCGCCGGCACTTGGGCTTCGTTCCGTTTACGCCCTGCTTGGTAACGCAAAAGCCCCTAGACTGTAGCTCGCCCCTGCACGCGGTGATGAGGCCAAGCAATGGTCAATATGCAACGACGTTCCTTAAGCAAAATCAACCCCGCTGCAGCCGCAAACACTGCAAGATGCGCAACTCAGCCAAAGCTGCGCGTGTCATACACCCACCAGCTCTGTGCGTAGGTTTCCCACTGCTTGGGGCCCCCTAGCATTGTGATGCGGTCTGCCACTGCTGCTGCCATAATGCTGGGCGTGATCAGCACGCGGGCGCGGTAGGACCGGCCCACCAGCGCCGCCCAAAAGCCGGCCGCGTCGTCTGCCCCCAACTTCACCGCGGCATGCGCATCCGCAGCAAAGCTGGCGCCCAAGGCACCTCCCGCGCCTCCTTGCAGCATGAAGAGAAACCCGCCAGGCGAGACGACTCCGACCGCATCCATGGCTGCGAGATAATAATCGCCCAAGGGGGGGCGTGACGCACTGCCCCCCTTCCAGCTCATGTCAAACAGGGTTGGGCTGCTGATGAGGTCCAGCAACACGCGGCCTGACATCTGCTCCTTCCAAGCAGGCAGGCATGTCAGCGCCGCCGCCAGCCGCTGCCATGCTGCCGCGAAGGCAGCGGGGCTCCCGAGATCCTCGGGACCATTGGCATCGGGCGCGGATCTCTGCAGATCGTTTGGCGGCTGCTGCTGATGCTGCTGCTGATGATGCTGCTGCTGCTGCTGTTGCTGCAACTGCTTTGATGCCAGTCCCTGCAGCGTCAGCGCCTCTGTTGTCGGTGCTTGCGGCCTGAAATCCAGAACGACATAGAGCCCTGCTCGCGTCAAGAATTCAGCCGTCCACAGCAGGCGGGTAAGTGTCGTCGGGCCACGTGGCACATACGCGTTGCAGCCACTGCCGCTGCTGTCCCCTCCTTTGCTGCCATACCCCGGCGGCCAGAAGGGCTGCGGGGGCGGCGGCAAGGCTGTGCTGTTCTTTGGGGGGCCCTTGGGGCTGACAGCAAGCTTGGTGAGCTCGGCAATGCTCGGGGGTTGTCCAGGGCAGGCCCGCGTTACGTCGAGTGGTGCCGACTGCAGGTCGTCGAAGGTGAACGGCAGCCGCACCGCATTGAATCCCAGCAGGCGCACAACATGCACAGTTGCTGCAAAATCGCCGCCAACCCAGGCCGGCTGCTGATCAGCGCCCGCGAGCGCCACAAACGTGCCGCCACTGTCGAAGCCGGGCCAGCTGATGCCACGCAGCGTCACCGCCGCTGCACTGGCGGCTGTCATCAGGCGTGCGCCCTCCACGCGCAGAGGCGGCGCAGGCCGACCTCCAGACAACGTTTCTGCGCGCGGTCAGCAACATATATATGACAATGGCTGCGCTGAATGTTGCAGAATCACACAGGACGCCAGTCAACATACCGTCGCAACCAAACTCGGTCACTGTGCAGCACGGCACCCCCTCGCACCTGCTGGAAGCTCGCCGGACAGGTCTTTACATGATGGGGGTGGCGTGTCAGCCGTGTCAGGACCAGAAGCACGCGCACCGAAGCCGTTCCGCGAGCCCAACGCCTGCTGCTGCATGCCTAAAGCAGTGGGTGTTGCCGTCACATCACCGCGGATCTGCCGCTGTGCTCGCAACGCCAGTGGTGTGATTACCTGTGTGTTGAAGGAGAGGTTGAGGTGTGGCGGAGGCGCACGTACGGGAACGATTGGCCTTCCTAACAGTACCAGTCAGCTCCCAGGTCTATAAAATACACGGATTCAGCATGCAATTGAGATTTGACCTGAACCTCCCAGCTGTCGTGCTTGACTGAGACGCACCGAAACGGCCACGACCGCAAGCAGACCGCCCCAGAACCAGCCCTTGCGCAAGAACGCCCATGTGCCCTCATCTCCTGTGCGGCGTTCTGGGGCGATGCGCGAGGGATTCGCGACGCTTCAAAGCACGGGATTCGGCGCATCATTGTGTGGCTTCCGTCGGCAAGTGAGGCCGACGCGAGGCTTCCCAGCCCGTCGCCGGTGGGGCAGCAGCAGCGCGTCGGCATTGCGCAGCGCCAATGCGCGTGTGCCGAAGGTACCGTCTGTGTCGCCCGCTTCATCACAAGCGACAATATGTGTGCAACTATCCCCGCCTAATTGCAGCACTCGCGCGTGACGCTTCATCGCCACACCGCCTTGAATCGGAATCGCAAACCGTCCTGCCTCTTAGCAACTCACTGGCTAGGCCGGGATTCTTGTTCTTGTCATCCAGGAGCTCCAAATCAATCACCTTGCCATCAGACATCGACCCCACGAGCTCCTAATGCGCCCAGGCAGGGACGCTGCCTACGGTGGCTCTGACAGTTGCGTACAAGCGGGTGACACTTATGCCGCAGGTGGAATAACATATGTCATCCCAGATGCGATGCAAAAGCTGCCAACAGGATGCGGGTCACCTGCCACCTAGTTGTTGGCGACAGGAGGTGCGTGTGGAAGCCCCCTCAGGGTTCTCTCTCAGCCCAATCCGCAGGCAGAGGGCGCTAGGAGGGCTGCACATCATCCATGTGATTCAGGAGGTAGTTGTGGTGTGCCTGATTGTGCGGGAAGCAAAACAAAGGGTCAGGCGGACCCCCGAGAGTGAACAGACTTGTGCATCAGCCCTCGTGTAACTATGCGATTTCGCAGTACCGTACATTGCCTGTACCCACTGCAAGCCACTGCCGTACACTGGGGCGTGACAAGGGCATCTTGTTGCCGGCTTTCCCTTATTTCTGCCCACCTGACAATTCTGCAGCAGGCGGCTTCTAGGCAATTAGGGTGGGTCGATGGAGGCCGCCGCGCATATGCAGCTCACACACATTTCCTTGGCGCGTACAGTATCCCTTCACCCTTCACGGCTCCAAAGTTATTTGCAGACCCGATGACGGGTTGCCCCGCAGGTCGCAGAAGCCGCTCACTCACCCGCATTGCTCCATTGCGCCCGGCAGGCTTCGTTGTCAACAAGCGGTCGCACCATAAGCAGCCGTCACCAGTTGGCCAGCTTCAATTGATTCGAAATTTCCCCACATTCAAGCCTTGTGCCACACCGTATTGCACACTTGATCACAAGCTCGGTGTCTCTGCACATCCTGGACCATCGCAAGACGGACGGCAATAACGGTGATTGTTTAGAGCAGGGTATATACGATACTTCGGCCAGTAGAGCGCTAGTTCGTAGCTCACGACAGCGCCCGTGGTCTCTGGCCAGCTCACTCCTGGATCGACCCGCCGCAAGGACCCCAAGTGAGATTTTTATCGTGTACCGAAATTACGTGGCATCGTTGCTAGTCTGTGCTGTGAAGCGGCTGTTGCCGTGGTGCGCGCTGGCGCGCTGCTCGCTGGCAGGCGTCATGCATGTGCTGCAGTGAGGTATGCGCATGGCCTGCTAAGTGTGCATGCACTTTGAAAGGTCTGCTCTGTGAGTACAATGAACGCACATGCTGCCCCCTCATGGCAGTTGGCTCCTCAGCTGAGCTTAGCTGACCGAGGAGGCCTCACTTGCAACGGCAACAGGCTGCGGCCGGCGCCGCACGCGGAGTGCGCGGGGCGCAGCAGTCGGCCGCCATGCTGGGGCAGCAGCACTTCACCTCCAATCCGCTGTGCCGTCTGTCAGACGTGCCTGCGCGTTTTCGTGCGTCATCGCGGCCGGATAATGAGGTCAGCCTGGTGGTGGTGGCGGGGCGCGAGGTGGTAGTGCGCACGCCCGCAGGCGCGCTGGGGCCGGGCGTCCACCAGGACCTGCAGGTGGGCTGGTGGGGGGACAGAGGGGGGGGGCGCCTGGACTGAGGCACCTCGGGAGGGACGGAGGGGGTGTGTTGATGGCGTGCGTCTTTAATGGGCGGATGCAGTCTCCGGGATGGCGAAGGGATTGAAGCAAGGGCATGGCGCAGGTACGGCTGCAAGCAGCTCGGGGCCAGCCATAACAGCTACACCGCTGGGCAGGCCGTAATGCATGGCACGGGTCCCCACTTTCCCACCCCATGATGCAGGCGCTGCTGCTGCGGCAGGATGACCCAGAGCTGCGGCTGGAAGGGGAGCAGATAGCGCTGGAGTGGGTGCCAGGTGGGCGGGTGATAAACGTTGCGCAGGTTGAGGGAGGGGCTTGGTCGCGCAGGTTGGGAGCTCTGGTTATTCGGCATGGGCTGCTGCACTATTATGCACCTGAGCCCAAGTGGTGGTTGTTACGAGGGCACGAATTCATCGACAATGGCAGGTTGACTCCCTCCTGATATCTGCTGGGGTCTCTCTTAGGCGCCCGCTCGCTCCTGCTCTTCTCCTCAGTGCACTTCTCCTCCACAACTTTTCATTTCATCATCTTTTAACACGCCGCTCTCAACGCACACATCTCTTTCAGACGACGGCATGCAAGCAGTGTCCCTGCCGCTCTACCTGCTGGGCCAGGACGTCAGCGGGCGCTGGACATTCGCACTCGACATCAGCGCAGCGCGTGACCTTTTCCTGGGGTTCCTGCGGGACTCCTGTGAATTGGAGGTGGCCATGAAGGACGTGCGCGTGCTGCTACCAGGCCTCAGCCTTGACGCATGTGCCATTGCAGGCCAGGCTGTTGCGCTTTCACAGTGGCATCAGGTGCGGTGATGTCGGAGGGTCGTGTGGGGCTTGATGACGTCCAGCTGGCAGTTGATGCGTGGACGCTGGTGGTACAGGAGCGGTGTTGCGTGACATGCCAGAAGCTCCTCCCATCAGCGTCCTGCAGCAAAAGCTATCAAGCCGGCCCAAATCCCATGATCACCGTTTCTCTATACACGCAGACCCACCTCTTCTGCCCTCGCTGCGGCCAGCCGACCGTGCCCTTTGAGGCGGGGACTCGGCGTCGCTGCAGCGGCCCCGGTGCTCACAAGCTGTACCCGCGCACAGACCCGGTGGTGATCATGCTGGTGGAGTCACCAGACGGGACGCGCGCGCTGCTGGGCCGCAGCGCCAAAAGCACGCCCGGCATGTACACTTGCCTGAGTGGTTTCATCGACCAGTGCGAAGGCATTGAGGAGGCGGTGAGGCGCGAGGTCATGGAGGAGGCGCGCATCGCCGTCAGCGAGGTTCAGATTCTCGGGACACAGCCCTGGCCAATCGGGCGCTACGGGTGCGGGGGGCCTTGGGGTGTGGCTGACAAGGGGTGGTGCCGGCGGAGGGGAGGCCCGTGAGGGTCCAGCTGCTGGCTGCTTGGCGGTGTGCAGCACTATTGTGGATAGGGTTGCTGACCTGCTCGTGGCTCTGCTTTCTTGTCCCTGGCAGCCACACTGGCGGTGTATGTGTACAACGCTGCGGTGCATGCAAATGCTGCCTGCATTCCCTGCCGCCTGCTGCATAATCGTGTGCCACTGCCCGTGTGTTGCAGCTCCTGCGAGCTGATGATTGGGTGCGTGGCCAAGGCGCAGTCCTACGAGGTGCTGCTCAACACCAGCGAGATGGAGGACGTGCAGTGGTACGATCGCGCGGAGCTGGCGGCTGCTGTGCAGTGGTACGACAACTCCATCCCCCTGCAAGAGGCGCAGAAGCGGTCATGGGCGAATCTCGGCTTCTTCGTCCCTCCACCTTTTGCTATCGCCCACCACATCATGCGAGCATGGGCGTTGCACGAAGTGAGGCACAGCGCACGCTTGTTGGGGCGTGAGGGGCCGATAGATAGCAAGACCACACTTGACCTGAAAACGGGACCTGCAAGTTGGCGTCTGCGCTGCGCATTGCTGCCTCGCTCGTCTCCTGGACACCATCACACCGCACTGGATCCGCTTTTGCTTGCCTTGAAAGTGTGGGTGAAAGAGCGCCTGACCTGTCGCCCACTCATCCACCCTACAATCCCATCCTGCTACGTCGTTGCAGGGGCCCTGGTTTGTCGAGCCAGACAGTGCAGTGAATGGACACGGCAGCAGGAGCGGCAGCGTGGGGGCGGGGCAGCTGGAAAGCAGCAGCGCGGGGGTCACCAGAGCGGCGCTGTGACGTGCGTGCGGGCGGCTCGGCGGACTCCTCTGGTTGCACAGAAAAACATGCACGACAGGACAATCAAGTTTCTGTGAAGTCGCCTGGCTTTAAGTAAGGAGTCCCAGCATGGCTGCCTCTCCGCAATCCCATGCTTGTTGTTGTGTGTACGGTAGTATGGTCTGGGGGTCATATGATGCCGACTCAGCTGCTGCTTTTTCACGGATAACCCTGCAAAACAGCAGTAGGTAACAGAAGCCCGCCCCCCTTGCATGAAATGGATGTTATGTTCATCTTCGCTCTTTGTCCTCAACATGCTTTATTCAATGACAGCATGATTCCGTATTTAGTTTTGGGGCAAGGCAGGGCTAAAGGTTGGTTGATACCGTAGGGTTGCACTGGCACATTTGGCAGGCACTTAGAGTGTCGGCATGATGTGGATGGTCTTGTCAACGCATGCAGAGTAAGGGCTACAGGAAGGCGAACATATTGCATGCAGGGAAAGTGCGCCACACGTTGTGTGCAATCAAACGGACCTGGATTCCCACATGTTCAGGAAATGAGTTCAAAGAGCAGGAGAGCTCAGCTCAGCTATCAGTGTTTGTGCGGCTGCAGCTGGCCCACAGAATACACACGTGCATTGAACACGGCATAAACAATGTGCATTTGCAGACTTATTGATCCGCGTACTGATTTGCTTGCTTTGATAGTGGATAGACTCGACACTTGAATTGCACGCCATCATCCTGGCAATTACGGCACTCGGGCTTAGCTACCTGTGCACCTGAAGCGACATCAAGCAGCACCTTTGAGGTTTGTGCAGCCTGCACCGAATCAAAACAATGCCCAATGCGTTGCATATGTGCGCGTGCTGAGGTTGCTGGATTTGATGCTGCGCGCCCCCTTGCTGAGGTGGCACACCGCAGCTCTGCTACCACCGTCTCTGTTGCCGCCGGTACAGATGATTCACGTCCCTTCCTGGACTGTTCAGGTCCACTCGCCAGCCCGCCGGGTCCTGCACTGCAGCACGCGTTTTGCACAGGGAGTGTGGAGGCTTGTGGCGCTGCACGAGTGACTGTGTCCCGGCCTGTTCGCAGGGGAAAAGGCGGATTGCTGTCCGTGTGCTGCGCAGCCTCACAAGCCGCGAGGCCCCTGCCGCTGCGCTGCAAGCACACTAGTTGATGCCCCGCCTTCAGTCCCATAACAAAGATGCAAGTGGCGATGGGCAGCGTGCAGCAACCACCAGCTGTGCAGCAGTGTTGGTGGGCTAGCAGCTGAGCCGCGCGGCGGCGGCTCCCTGATTCCTAAAGTGCGCTGAGGTGAAGCCTACGCTACCTTCCCTCCTGATCAAGCCGTGCAGTCGGTTGTGGTGCACCAGACGCAGCGGCATGAGTGACGTGCCAGGTGGCCGGAGCACATGGGGGCACCTGTCAACATGTTTGGCAATTGATCCACCAGCACCCTGGCACAGCTGAGCTGCAAGGGCAAATGTGGCGGCGGCTCTGTAACAAATCGTTGTCGGCAGCGCCGTAAGGGTCCCTCGTGCGCGCTGCGCCATGGTACTACGACATCGTCACAGCTACGCAATCCTACACTGTGGGGCACTGCGAAGCGCTTCAAGGGAGTTTCTGTCATCAGGGTGACATTGTCAAAGTCTGGCACCCCAGCTGCACGACTGGCGCCCGCAATGCTAGTTGAATTGGGTGGCAACCAGGTCTTGACACACTCAGGCTTCTGCTTAAGGGCACAACACCTGAACGTGCCACTTGCTGATTACACTCCAGGTTGTCAAACCCGTCCTCATCGCCAGGCAATGGGTCGCCACAATGACCATATTCTTTCAAGACGTCGGCCACTGGCATGCTGCGTGCCTGGGCCACGAACCCCCCTGGGTCTTGTAAGCTGGGTTACAAAGTCGCACATGTGGCGGTTGCGCCTCGACGCACCGAAGCCAGGAACAGGCAAGAATGCTTGGCCAGCTACATTCTGATTGTCTGTTCCCTATATGTGGTGGGCTTCCAGAAGAAGGGTACACAAGTGCGTGGAAGGTAAATGTACACAGTATTGTTGAAACAGGCAGGAGCTGTTGCGCACACACTCATCTGGCTATGAGCGGGGTCACATCTCGCTGGTGCGCTCAAACGCGCCTTTGCAAGTGACCATGCCCTGCACACAGAATGGCCAGCATTCAACGGCTGGTGAGACGCATAGTCAACTGGCTGGCTGACACCACACACAGTCAGTGCGCTCCAAGAAAGACAACATGCACGGCAGGTGCATGTGAGCGTGCGTGTTGAGCAATGCCCGGGTCAGAGGCCAGACCCGCTTCAACACATGAAAAGCTCTTGGCGCACACAAGCGCCGCAGGTAGAGTGCTTCGCAGGCAGGTCTGCCGCTGGCAGCAGAGCGCCAGCATGTGCAGCAGCGGTAGGAGCGCCTCGCCCTGGCGGGGCTGCAATCAGATGCGCTGCATCTTGCTGGCCTGCACCAGCGGGTTGTCCTTGGCCAGCTTGGCGCGCTGCGCTGCTTTGTGGTCGTAAGAGCAGGTATGGTCCTCTGCATACCGGTGCTGGCCACAGTACAGTCCACCACAGCGGCACTGGAAGCCCAGGAGGCCGACCTTTTTGCGGCACTGCTGGCACCTGGGGGGCAGGGGGAGGAGGGCCGCGTTAGGGCGTGTGATGAGCAACTGCGGTACCAAAACCACATGCTATGTGAGTGTTGACATCGCTGCAGCAAACTAGTGTGCCGCATGCTCAGACTGCTGCTGACACCAATCCACCGGGGGGTGGTCCCATGCAGAAAACGTGGATCCAGCACCCACCTGGTCGAGGTCTTGCCAGGCGTGTCGGCCTTGGGGCTAGCTGCAGCTGCGCTGAAAGAAGCCTCTGCTGCCACTGCTGGGGCCGGGCAGCCGCTACTAATGGCGACATCCCTAGGGCTGCCGTTCAGCATTGGCGTGACATCAGCGGCAGGCTGGGACGCAGGTGCAGCCACGACATCGGCCGTCTGCGCTGGGTCGGTGGCCGCCACTGCCTGGGCCGCCACATCCTGCTTTGCCTGCGCTTTCCGGTCCTCGTCGCGAAAGCATTTTGAGCACATCCCAAGAGTGGCAGGGTTTCTGCGAGGCAAGGCCAGCAGATGGCGGCGCAAAGGGTCAGCACAAGGCTCTGCAGCGACAGCCAGGCTGAAACACGGCGCCTGCCGCGACCACGACTGCCTGGCATTGCCCAAGTACTCACCCAAAAAATCCACATCCGCACAGGGGCACGGAAGGAGCGCGCTCGTCCATGCTTGCTTGCGCCGAGTGTGCCTGTAAGCGGATTGCACTGACGGTGTGGCCTCACGGGTCGTTGCAGCTTGTGAAGCGCTGTATAAGTTTTCTATGAGTTTTGTACGACTGTAAACAATGTAAACCAAGCATGCCGCGATGGGTTGCAACGCAGCTCGGAAGGGTCTGCCTGAATCATCCGGGCCGCACGGAAGCTCGGAAGCGCAGACGAAGCTCCGCGGCAGATGCCGCCCTATGCCCACGCATGTGTGCGTATACTGCGCGATATGTCTGTTGGGCCGTGAGCACTTATTCGACAAGTGTACACCGGCTCCTGCAAGCATGCATACAAACCCCATGTCCCCATCTCCGTGCATGTGCAACAGTGCCTTCTCGGCAAAAGCTGGGAGCACTGTTACTTTGGCAGACAGAAACACAGCAAAGTACCGCTTGAAGCAATGAGTACTTCACAGCGCCGTGCCCATGGCCGCCTGGGCTTTGAGCAGCTTGATGTGCTCCTTGACCAGGGTGTGGCCTGCGGGGACAGCACAGGCGGGGTGGCGCGCAGCCGGCTTGTGGCCGTCGATTCAGACATGCGTGACAGCTAGCGCGAAAGCGGCAAGGGCCCAGGAACACAAGGGCATCTCACTCACCTGGGTGATCCGACAAGCCCCCCCCTTACAGACAATCCCCGACCCACCCTGCTGGGTGACCACCATTTGCTGCCGCTCTGCGCTGTCCCACAGGAGCACCCCCCGCTGCTGCGCAAAGGCGCGGCTCCTCTCGTACAGCGTGACGTCCTCAAAGTTTGAGTACCAGAAGGCCGGGGACATGTCTACGCGCTGCGTCTCGCGCTCCCACAGCCGGATCTGGTCCTGAACGGTCTGAGGGGGTTTGTGGGGGCACAGGGGGGGGTGGGGGTGACAAGACGGGTGCATGATGTGGGGTGTAGGAAGTGCAAAGGCGCACAGAGCAGAGTCGCGTTCATGTGATGTGCGTTGTCATGAGGCAGATCAAGGGGCTTACAGAGGGATGATCCGGCCATGGCTGTTGGTCGGCATGTTGCCGCTGATCAACCCCAACACCCTGCAGATCAGTTATGCGACCCCTGAGCCCAGCCATGCAAAGCTCCCTGCCGGGGGTTCACAGTCCCTCACCTCAGGGACACTGGGCACCCGCGCTGCCACCTGGGGGTGTGCGTGGCTCTGCAGGAATCCGATGATGTCATCTGCCGTCATCCCCTTGCCCAGGGCGTGCTGTACGCTGTCCCGCGTCAGGGTGCCAACAAAAAGGTTTGGGAGGGCGCAGTCCAGCCGGCAAAACTCCTCCAGCACTCGCACCTGGATGCGGGAGCTTGTGTACGCATAGATCTGGCAGCACACCGGGGCAGGGGTGGAGCGTGGTGAAGAGGGGGGGCCGGTGAGCAGGGTCGGCCCTGCAATGACGCGTGTCAGATTTCTGAGGCCTGTAGGAGGTTGAGGGCGTGCTTGTCTATGCTTCCTGAGCACCAAGAGAGGGCAACACATGCAAGCTGACACTCTCCCTCGAAGGCAGTCACTGGCACACTCATACGAGTGCGCGCACTCACTTGGGTGCGCGCACTCAGTTGGGTGCGCGCACCCCTAGTCGTGCCCCCCCACCTCACCCTGAAGTTGGTCTCCACGATGACGTACCCCCCGCCACCAACGCCGGCAGACAACCCGCTAGGGCTCAGGGCCGCGGCCGCAGCAGCGCCGCCGCCGCACAGCGTTGATGCCAGGGCAGTGGGGCAGAAGTAGGTGCCGCCCTCCTGGGAAAAGGGAGGGAGCCAGGATACGAAGAGGGGGCGACAGGGGAGGACAACGTCAAGCAACGCTAGACGGTGAGGCCGCTAGCTTTGAGGGCCAGCCAGCAACTTGATGGCAGGGGGCCCCTCAATTTGCCCCCTGCTCACCGCCTTAAAGGTGTAGAGTAGCCCCAGCTGGGCCATGTGGGCGGCAATGCGCTGCTCCAGAGGGCTCAGGCCAGCCAGGGCGTAGGGCCGCCCCACCTGGATGTCACAGGGAGCGTCAGGTGGGGGTGAACATGACAAGCAATAGCGTCTGCAGCCCCCTCCCTATGATATCTTACTCATCAAAGTATCAGATGTGATGCGGAGGGGCCCACACATGCTGCACGTCTTCAAGCGGCCGTTGGGGTTGGCCTGTCCTTCCCCACTGTGCTGACAAACCGGTAACGCATCCTGCCGCACCTGTCTGAATCCCAGCTGCATGAGGAAGCTCAGCACCGACGACAGCTGGGCCGCTGGGCGGACAGTCGAAGCGTGTCAGGCAGGGGGGTTGAGGGTTTGGGCGCGGAATAAAGCACAGAGGTGTTGATGGTTGCAAAAGCTGTCCCCAGACAGCAGGCGGGCACGTTTACAAGCATACGACTACCATAGGCCGCGCAAAAACAGCAGCCTGCGCTGCCGCCGCCCCCCCTTGCCGCCTGACCTGACGCCTGCTCCGCCGACCGGATGTAGTCCCGCAGCAGTGTCCAGGCCTGGCCGTTGGTGTCCATCAGCAGGAACCTGAAGCCCGCCCCCGTGAGGGCGCGGTCCGGCTCCTTGATCAGCCCCGCGGCCGCCACCAGGCGCTCCACGTCCAGCGGCTCGTGGCGCTGCAGGGGGGGGCGAAGGGGGGAGGGGGGGGTAGTGGTGGTGGTGGTGGTGGTGGTGGTGGTGTGTGTGTGTGTGTGTGTGTGTGTGTGTGTGTGTGTGTTTGTGTGTGCACGCGCGCGCGCATACGTGCGTGCGCTTGTGTGCGTCGGATTGGTGGGAATGGAAGGGTCAGCTGGCTGATGGGTGCAAGCAGGGGTCACATAAGTAAATGGCGACATGCAAGGGTAAGCAGCAGTGATACTGTCGTGCCCCCCTCATGACGGAATGCTCCGGCTGCCGCCTGCTATCATGGCCCCGAGCCCCTGGTGCCCCAAACGCACCAGGCCGACCGGCATGGAGGGAGGCGCCTGGCGTGTTGGGTCCAGCAGGAACGTGAGGACGCCCTGGGTGGGTGGGGAGGCGGTGCGGTGGGCGGATGCAGGGGAGGCGGTGAGGCTCTCAGGGCTGTGAGGAAGCGATTTGTCTTGAAGACAATGCCAGATGTGCATGACGCATGTGTTGACACAAAGCACGGCGGTGTCAACACCGCCAGAGCTGCCCAGTGCAGAACTAACGTGGACACTGCACCGCTTCATGCCTGCCCTTCAGCTGCCTCCTGTTTCCTCCAATCAGCAATGGCCGACGCCACTCGTCCCAACCCGTTGCTAGCCCACTCGATGCAGCCCCACCTGCACCCCGCCCCACCGCCCTACCGCCCCACCTCCCACTGCTTGACCGCGTACTCGGCGATGGCCTCCTGGCCCGGCATCACTGACAGCACCACTGCATCAACCATCCCGCCGCCATGGGTGCTGGGGATGGGCGCAGGGAGGAGGGGTACACCGGGATTTCATGCAGAGGTGTTGCTAACATGGTACGGGTGGGGGGGGGGGGAAGCCGATGGTGGGGTGTCAAGCCTGTTGCAAGCCGCGAGCGGAGGCCCAGGCGCATTCTTGAGCTGCACATACCTTCCCGCCAGGGCCGAGCGCAGGTGCTCCTTGAACACCTCGTGGAGAGCCCAGGTGGTGGTGCCACTGGAAGCAGGCAGTGGGCCAGGACCCGGGGCAGAGAGGCAAGCAAGAGCAGGCGAGTTGAAACGGCATAGGTTCCGGCCTCCTGTGCCAGTCCTGGCCTGCCTGGTGCGGGCAGGATGTGGCATCAGTGCCTGAACAAGGACACGTTGCCCTGCCTGCCTGCAGCAGCACAATGGTCTACAGCCTGCAGCCTCTTGCGTGCGTTCTCACCCCCGGGCCTCCGCCGCCAGCAGCGACAGCTCCTGCAGCAGCCTCAGCGCCACCTCATGCTTCTTGGCAGAGGTGGTGTCGCTCTTGGCCCAGTTTCGCACAAAGCCTGGGTGTTCAACGAGGGGAGGCCATGGCCAGAGTGTATGCTGACATGGCCACGCCCGCGAGAGCACCCGCTTGCTGGTGAGGGTAGGTTTGCAGTGTGATGTTCCATACTGCACCAGCGGCTCTTGTCTGCTGAGTTTGCGCTGCGCATGCATTATCCAGCTGACCCTCTAGTCCCCACAGTGCTAACGCTGTCTGTGACCACCCTCGGCTGCTGTACAGCGACGGCTTGGGCCCGGGCACCAGCCCCACCACCCTGGGTGCCCTTGGCGTGCCGTCCCATCACGCGCACCGTCTGGCAGGGGCTCTGGCGCGTACAGTAGCCTCAGCACATACTGCTGCCCCAGCGGCTCCAGGGCCCTGAAGACAGCCTGGCAGGTCCAGGGGCTGCTATACAGCTGGGACCGCGCCTCCGGGGCTAGCGACGCAATGTATGAGGCGAGGTTAAGCGACTGCAAGGCTGGGGGGTGCGCCGCCGCCGCGTCGGCCTGCATGGAGCCCCCCCAGGCTCACGGGCCGTGCGGCGGCCCAGCCACCGCTGCGATTACTGGCCACACCGCCGCCTTGGGCAGGGAACAGCCAGCCCCGGCTGACAAGTCAGGCGCGTGCTGCGTCGGCTTGCGAGCGCCGTCGCCTGAATGGTGGCCCGCGGTGCTGGCCGTTGACCACAAAAACTATGCAGTTGAATTGTTTTACAGTGACCGAACCCCCAAAGAAGCAACCGAATCCTCGTCGTGATCTTGAGATCATATATTGCGCCCGAGTTCCCTGAGCAGCAAGTGATACTATTCATATTATAGTCATCGATTGTGTTCGAATTCTTATGACATCACCGTACACAGTTGTCACTGCTAAGTGCTGCTACAGTACCGGTAGTGCCTGGTGTGACCTGGTAGAATCAGCAATGCGCAATATCAAGCCCAGCCTGGCCAATAATGGTCATGAGAGGGCAGTTGACTGATAGGTGCATGCAAGGTGGTGCCTTGGGTGCTCAATGGCGCCGGGCGGTTCGCTCCATGGCGCCGGGCGGCTCCCGGCGCCACCAGTGGCACAGCAAGAGCATGGGTGCAAGTAGTGTTTCAAAGCTACCAATGGTACCAGCACCTGTCACAACGGGCATCGGCGCACCACGTGCCCGTCGTCCGTGCCGCCTGGCGCCATGCTCACTTCTGGGCGTGGTCAATTCGTTGGCTGTTGTGGCAGATTCGCCTGGCCGCGACTTTCTATGTGGAGAGGCGGCCGGCAGCGGCGCCTATGCCTGGGTGAAGCTGTTCAACGTGTTGGCGCAGTATGGCATTCTGGAGCAAAAGCTTTGGTAGGCATGTGAGATTGAGTGTGTGTGTGTGTGTGTGTGTGTGCGTGTGTGTGTGTGCGTGCGTGCGTGCGTGCGCGTTCGTGCATGCGTGCGTGCGTTCGTGTGCGAGGGGTTTGCGTGCTTGGTGGGGGTGCATCAACGCGCTCACGCGCATGCACATGTTCGTGTTTGGTGTGTGGTGACAACGTTGTTGAGTGACATGTCGTGCCGCAACTTGCCGTGCCATCGGTCCACCAGCAACCACGCCTCCATTTATGCTGCCATGCTTCCACCTCGCCAACCATTCTTCAGCGCAAGCTGGTGCACGTCACATCTGGGCCCCTCTTCCTCCTCCGCTGTTCAGGTTGTCTGGTCGCCAGCTTGAATCAAAACCTCACCGTTGAAGACAAAGCAGGCGCACGTTCGAGCAAGTATGGTTGGCCCCGCTGCCGTCGACAACCCGCTTGCAACCCGCCACTTTCGTAACCCTTCAAACCCTCAAATTCAAGCCCTTGACCACACGCCCTTGTTTGAAACCCACGCAGCGCTGGCCCCATGCACGCTTCATCGCGGCGGCCGTTCCGGCGCTCAACCTGGTGCGGCTGGCGCTGGTCGGCAGCGGGTTGGAGGACGACCCGGGCCTGGTCAGGTCCACGTCGCGCAGCGGCGACAGTGGGGAGCTGCTGCGCGGCCCCCTGCTGTATGTGGCGGTGCTGGTGGCGGTCACGATCACCCTCTGGCGGGACTCACCGGCCGGCCTCATAACGTGGGGGGGGGGGCAGGTCATCCAACCAGGGGCCTGCGGGACGCACGGGGAACACGAGGCGCCCTGACGCGCCCATTGGCATTTTGCTGTGTTTGCTCGTGTCTCTGTCGCCTCCACAGAATTCATCTGACAACCAATTGTTTCAACCGAATTTGCGGACAGTGTGGCCGTGATGTGCGGTGGGTGACGGCCTGGCGGACATTGTGGGTCGGCGATGGGGCAACGGCAGCCGGCTGCCCTGGAGCGACAGCAAGGGCCGGGCTGGCAGCGCATGCATGCTCGTTGGGGGCGGCGCCATGGCCTGGGTGTGTCGTCATTTCATATGCATAAGTGGTGTGTGTGTGTGTGTGTGTGCGCGCGTGTGCGTGTGCGTGTGTGCACGCGTGTGTGTGTGCGCGTGTGTACATGTGTGCATGCTCGTGTTGCATATGCGCTCTGACCCTCGATTGTATTGTGCTTCTAGGCTACTGTGTTGCGAACGCCATGACCTTAAATCTTGCATACGCTCACGTTGCGCACACCCTTGCCTGCTTTACAAAATTTATCTGCACTGCCAGCCTCATCAGCCTATTCTCTGCTCTCAGGTTGATCTGCTGCCCCACGATATCCCTGACACCTGTCGTGGCTGCGGCCTGCCTGGTTGGTGTGCACTCTGGTGGAGTCGCTGCCGCTTCACAGTTTGGCCGACGACAATCTCTCAGTGCCAGCGGCCGCGGTGGCTGTCTCGCTGCTGCTGCTGCCTTTGGCCGCCGCCGTGGCAGGCGGCCCTCACGTGGCAGCCGGCACGGTGCAGACTGGCGCGGCAACACTATCATCTGAGTAGCAGGTAAACTTTGCAGGAGTAAATCCCTTGACAATGCTTCAAAAAGCAGACATCATGTGTCCAACGGCAAGTCCACAGCTGCATTGTGCGTCAACACCGTGTCCAAGAATAACAGCTTCTGCAGCAGGCGCAACGGCAGCTCACCCTCTCAGGTTCTGTTTGAAGTGGGTCAAGCTCCCTGCTGCCAAGATATCCAGGTTTACACGCAACAACAAAAAAGACAAAAAAGACAGCAGCAGCCACAGCACAGAAATTAGGGAACAATGGGGTTGACAATGCGCATACCGATTGTGGTTGCTCTACCGCTTGGTGGCAAAGCCCTTGCTCTTGTCCAAGGGCTTCCTCCGCTCCGCCGCCAGCTGAGCCTTGTCCTTGCGCCGCCGCGCCTTGCCTGACGGCACCGCGGGCTGCTGTGAGCGGATGAGGTCCTTCATGAGTGCCTCGTCAGACTGGCCTGGGGGAGCCAGAGTGGCGGGAGGGGATGATGGGGAGGCGTGTTGATGCGGTGCACGGGACAGTGGTCAGGCCTGGGAAGGCACAGGCGACGGCTGAGCGGAGCGGAGCTGACGCACATCTGTAGGATGAGGCTTGCTGGGCACTGTCGGCCCCATCCCCCTACCCACCAACGTCCCCCACTCTGGCCCCCCACCCTTGATCGAGCTCGCACCTGGCACCCCCATCTTCATCATCTTGCCCATCGTCTGCATCTGCACCCGCATGGCCGCAAACTCGGTGCACAGCTGGCTCACGTCGGCCTCCTGGCGGCCAGAGCCCTCTGCCACGCGGCGCCGCCTGCTGGGGCTCTTCATCAGCAGCTCAGGGTTCTCACGCTCCTGGGGGGGGGGGGGTGCCGGCGGGGTGGACTGGTGCGGGGAGGCACTGGCGCCTCTGCTTGGGTCTAAGCTGGGCCCCGGATCCCGGCACAAACTGGTTGCCCGGATTCTCCTCCTCCCGTCAACTGCCACACACAATAATGAAAGCTCTCCACCCTCCCACATGCCATGCTCAGCCATCCCTGAGGGTCCTGTCACGCAGCCCCCTCTCTTCTCCCCCCCCCTCACCTCTGGTGTCATGGCGCCTATGAGCCCCTTATACATCTTGGCCTTCTTCTCGACCTCGTACAGCTGCTTCTCACTGACCTGGCTGAACCCCGGCATGAGCTTGAGCATTTTGAGGCCACCCATGTTGTTGATGCGCTCAAACTGCTGCAGAAAGTCGTTGAAGTCGAAGCGAGCCGACTCCATGCGCCTCTTGAACTCCTCCACCTCGTCCTCCTGGAAACAGGGAGGCCGCATGCGCACGTGCGCGTATGTGAACACATTCGTGGATGCATGGGCGCACGCTCGTATGCATTCACATGCAGATGCGTGCGCATGCGGGCGTGCGGGGTTGTTTCAGGAGGGGCCAGCGAGAATTTGCACAACACGTCGCACTGTGCAATGACATCCGGCCCGGCGTTGCGGCTGCCAACAGGCTAAGTGCTGAGCTGTGGCGTGCCGCTTGCCCCTGGATGCAGCCCCTCAGCTCTCAACGTCAAGTTTGACACGCAGCCCGGGGGCTCCCTTTTCTCCGCCCCCCCCCCCCAGCGTGCCCACGTTGATGGCCTCCTGCGCCTTCTCGTAGAGGGTGAGCATGTCGCCCATCCCCAGGATGCGGTTGGCCATGCGCTCGGGGTAGAAGGGCTCCAGCGCCTCCATGGTCTCGCCCGTGCCCACAAACTTGATGGGCGCGCCGCTGACCTCGCGCACACTCAGGGCGGCACCGCCGCGGCTGTCGCCGTCCAGCTTAGACAGGATGGCGCCTGGCGGCGGCACGGGGGGACAGGCGTCGATTGGTGAACGGAGGGAGGGCACTGGGTTTGTGCTGCGCAGCTTGGCACAGCGCCTGTGGCGGTCAAAGCCGGGGTTCGAAGCGCCTCGCCCAAGAAGAATCCCCCTGGGTCTAGTGCACGCCCTTCCACCCTGAAAAACCGTGCCGGGCCCTGAACTTGTGAATGGTTTTCGTCACATCCGGACCCTGTGCTTTACTTGCAGGCTGCGAGCTCACCTCCAACACACAAACGCACGCACGCACATACGCACGCACGCACGCACACACACACACACACACACTCACACACACACTCACACTCACTCCCTGCCTCCCTCATTGCCTCCCACCCTACCCCACTCCCCACCTCACCCGTGAGGTCGACCTGGTCGTTGAACGTCTTGACCAGCCCCGCGGCCTCCTGGCCCGTCATGGCGTCCACCACCAGGAGGGTGTCGCTGGGGGACACGCGCTCCTTCATGCGCCGCAGCTCGTCCATCATGCCCTCGTCAACCTTGGGGGGGGGGTGGGGCAGGGCGGGGGGAGCGCGTGGTGACAGCTGGGGGTTTGAGGTGGATTGCGGCAAAACACATTATCAATCTCTGGGCGCTGCCCCAACACCCCCAACTCTACACATCTGGCAGCGGCGCGCCC